TTTTTTCAAAAAATAAATAGTGTGAGCAAAAAATGTTTAGTTGAAAAATTGTAGATTCTTAAAAAACGAAAATGGTTGTTAAATAATTCTTTGGGGAAAATTTAAAAGGAGAAATGTGTAGTAGTTTTTAATAAATCAAAATAATGAAATAAATTGATGATTTTTTTTTTCAGGGAATTACGCCAGATATTACAGTCCTTCATAGATGTGGAGCAGCAGGATGTTGTCACAAAAACAAGACATGTCAAGCACGTAGGACTGAAACCGTCACATTAATTTTTCTTATTAAAAGAAGTGGAAGACATAAAGAATATATCGATGTTAGGGCTCAAAATCATACCGAGTGTGAATGTCAACAACTTGTAAACAGTCCAAAATAAGTTTTATTGTCTTTGTATTTTATTTTGTAATCGTATCAAGCTAAATCTGTGATAATAACTACTACTATAATAAGTGTGAAGAACTTTGTTAATTTATTGATTTTTTATACATACTCGTATTTCTATTTATTTGTCAATAAAGTGCAAGTCAAAAAGATAAATTGTTTTTGGTACATATCCAGGACCATATTTCGCAAATCTATACAGTGTGGTTCTGAGATGATAATAATAATTCGGTGAGGGTGTTAAAAAAAATTGTAAAATATTTAAAGAGGACCAAAATAAACAAAAAAGTCTTAATAAATGGGTCGCAAAGTAACGGTTTTGGAGAAATCGAATGTGAAAACTTTTAAAATTTTTACTAGAAGCTTCTCTTTTGTGTTTGAACAGATTGCAAATAAATGTTTCAAAAAACGAATAATTTTTGATATTTCCAAAACCGTTAGGTACTTTCCAGATCCATGTTTCTTAAGACTTTTTTTGTTTATTTTGGTCCATATTATTACCTCCTGAAATATTTTACAATCTTTTTTTAACACTGTGTATATAAAAAAAATCAATTTCGATTTTTTGCAAATAATAAAATTTTTGAAAACTTTTTTAAATTCAATAATCCTGAGGCTAATAGTAAATCTGTAGTAAGAAAACACCTGTCTAAAAAAGAGATTTTTCCTTCTTAATTCCAATACTTACAGAAAATTAGTGGCAAAGAATTAGATAGCAATAAGATCAATAATAATTCTGAAGTTTGTCCAAACTGTAGAAATGTATCTTATCACTAAAAATTTCAACATTTTAATTATTTAACTATTATACAGGTGTCCCAGCGAGTTGAAAAAGTCCTTTAAATGGTAAAATTAAGAAAAATTGTATAAGACATTGATAGATACTAATCTAGTGCATAACCTAAAATTATTTTCAACCATACAGCATGTCCCAAAAATAAGTTACGATACAAACTTGTGATTTTTTAAATGAAACACCGTGTGTTTCTTAGCATTTTTGAATGTAATAATGTTTTTACGCTAAACTTCTATTAGTCAATTTCGCTTAGTTTTAGAAATAAGACGTTTTTTTTGAAAAAAAAAATGCACTTTTTAAAAATTTATTACACAAAAACTAAGACAGCTAGAACAATTTTAGCACTATAATTATATGGTTAACAAATTTTAAATGTTTGTTTATGTATGATTATTATTAAACTAGATTTGAAATTAAATTATTAACTTGTTAAGTCTCTCTTTAATATTGCCTTAAGTTCTAAATTATTTCAACAAAAGACTTTAATAAATAATAATAACAAAAGTAAAATAGCCTTCAATCACTTCTTGTCCAATAATATCATAACTGATATTTTAACAGATATCACAACACTTCTTGGAACAAAGTTGCACAAAAATATTGAGACTTATTGAGATAAAAAGTTATTGATTGTGCATCTATTCCAAAAAATAGATGCCAATAAACTGTTCAACTTTGATCAAAGAAGCATCTTAAAATAAAGTGCTGGAGACCACATCCGAGGAAATGTTTATTTGATCAACATCTTTCTAAAATCTTCCTTTAGACATTTTAAATTTAGTAAATGCAACTTTACTCGATTTTTGTACATTTTCTTCAAGTTTTGCGTTTGATTATGGACGTTGGATTTTAAAACGAATACCTCTTCTATTTCTTCCAGCTGTTGTTTTCCTTGGTTTTCTCAAAACTAATAACATAATAATAAGAGGTTGTAGAATAAGTAGCTGAGGATAGAATTTTCTACTTCAGACTAATTAGAAGAGAAACCTATACTAAAAGTCACAGTTCTTCGACGTGAGCGGAGACATCAATGGTTTCTTGCTTATATCTCAAAAAGTATGCGTGTTACAAAAAAACGGTTTATACAGAATTAAACCTTATAAAATTTCCCACAAGACGGTATTTCTAGTTTCGTTGTAGCAAAAATGGTCTTTGAGATATCCGCTGGCAAATATGGTAGGTATTCTTAAACAAAAAAACATTTTTTTTCTACTCATTTTGGATATAGCTAAATTCCCAGCTTACGGGGCTTAATGTTGATTGCAAATTGTACTGTAGACCTCCACAGCTTGTAAAAAAACAGTGTTTTCGTTTCGTACCTTACAAGAAAGTGAGGTTATGTTCCACTTCTGATTGGCTTCACCATGGTTACTCACATTACAATAATGGCCGACCTCAAACGGACCAATCACATCAATGCATCAAATTTACAAGAATTCAAAACATCAAAAACAAGGTTGAATTTGACTTTTTATCCTAACTTTCAACTCAGATTTTCCCAAATCATAATTTTTTTTTAGGAAAATGAGTCAATTTTTAACTTTTAGTCGTTGAAGTTTGAAAAACACAAATATTGAGAAAATGACCTGTTTTTCAGCCCATTCTATCTATTGAAACATCAATTTTTTATGGAAACTACCCTATTTTTATGGCCTTTTTTAAAATGTGCCAAAAATAAGGAAAACTACCCTGTTTTTTACGACTTAAATGTGAGCCAGACGTAATAACTGAATCTGTGGTTTTTGTTGAAAAAAAATGCAAGAAAATAGGAAAATGACTAAGAAAACTAGGCATAATAATCTGAGTTAAAACGTTACACATATTACTACTTTGGTTTTTTGCATTATTATAATGGCCGACTTTAAACTGACCAATTACAATGCTTACAACTTTTACAGCGAATATCTCAAAAACTATTTGAGATACAAAAAAAAACGAGACCATTTTGTAAAAAAAATATAAGCTTTAACATTTTGTGGATATAAGCGAAAAAGCATAAACTGAAACTTTGTTATCTATTTCTGCAGTTTATCAACGTTTTGCTTGTCACGACCTGAAGTTACTCAAAAATTAAGTGATGATGGGGAACAATAAAATGAAAATAAAACAACATGAAATAGTCTATATTTCAAATTTCTTTAATTCCATTTAAAAGTGATATTGCCTTCATTAAAATCAAATTTGAATACATAATTGATATGCGATGTTACTCTATCGGAAAAAAGACAAACCCCTTGTCTTGTATGAACATCCCATTCGATTTGTTGGCCAACCTGGGGTGGTAATACAGGCCCCGAAGATATAACACTTTTCGCACCTTCTTCATGCAACCATTCAATCCACAAAGCTAAACCATTGCACGGTCCGTGTCTGAAAACAATTCGAATTACACCTAATTTCAGTACCATTTTCAATATTCAAATACCTTGAATCGATTTCAAAAACCCCTGAAAGTTCCACCACTTTTTCATGCACACTATTCGAGTCAATTGTTATTATATCCACAGTTTTACTTAACGCAATCCCGGGGTATTCCCACAAGGGTTGTGCCTCGACATTGTCGTCGCTTATGTTACTTGACACCTGAAAATAAAAATGTTAGGCCAAATTTATCATTTCATCCCGTTGTCGGGAATAAAATAGTATATCCTTATACTTAAACTTAGCCGGTTTTGAAATATTTGGGGTTTTTCAAAAATTTTAAAGTGGAAGGTGCAGATCCAAAAATTTTTGAAAAACTCCAAATATTTCAAAAACGGCTAAATTTAGGTATAGAAAAAGCCTTAAAATAACCCGATTAATCCAAAAACGCAGTAAAAAATATACCTTTCCATTCAAAATAAGAAAGTTGAGACCGACTTCCGGTATAAGCGGAAGTGCCGCCATCTTGAAAATATTTTCACTTAGGAGGACTTAATGGTTTATGGCTATGTAACAATTTTCAAATAAATACGATTATTCGAACTTCCAATACTTCTAATGTGGAGTTTAGATGGAACACCCTGTATGCAGATCTAATAAAGTTTATGTTTGTTTTTAAATAATTATTGGTTATTAAACCAAGGATATTTTTAAATCATTTCCCTCAGAAAATAATATAATAATTAATAAAAATTTAAGGAATAGTATATTGTGTAATTAGAAGTAAAACTGTCACAAAAATTTTTAAATATTTTTTCCATGTAAAAAATCTCGGTTTATTAAAAATTATCGCTCTCTAACGGTCGGTCACATTTAAACTATAAACTTGATTTTTATTTTATGATTTTATCATTTACAGTAAAAGGCAAAAAAATGTACAATTTGAAGACATATAATTTTTTTTAAATATTAAAAAAAACGAGTTTTGTAAAATTTATGATATTCTAATATTTATTTTTATAATTTTAATTGATGGTTCTATTTGTAACACAATTAAAGCTATTTGTTTTTGAAAGGACACTGTTTATACTCTATTTAAATATAAAATAAATGATCACATTAAAAATTATTAAATATGTTAAAATTCGCGCAACTTAAAAATTCACAAATATGAAATATGATACATTATAAGAAAACAGACTTATTTTCTCAAAATTAAATTCTTTAATGTTAAGAAATACCAACTTGACAATACTAAAGACCATTTGAAGGTCGCAAACCATTTATTTCCCTGCTTTGTTACAATAATGAATTGAAAAAATAATGAGAAATGTTAGTTAGAAACACAAATTGTTTGCAAAGCAACTTCGACAATGCATCAACTTTGTTAAAAAAAAAAACAGATATTTGATAATTTAAGTAGTATGAGCTCGAGGCTATGCCTCTCGGGCCACACATTTATTTGATTATACTGTATTTCAAAAGAAATATTTTAATAAAAAATGATTTTCCATTTAGAAAATTTAGGTTTTCATATAGGTACAAAATTTTATAAGCAGAAAATTTTATGATGTTAATAGAATTACAATCGTAATTACTATTGTTACACAAAAAATCAATTACCTCGAAGAGTTCGAGCATTCGAAAAAAGCAAAAGTATAAACTATCATTTATTTTAATTATTTTTAACCAATTTTGTGGATTTTCTATTTTTTTTTTGACGAAATTTAGCAAAATAATCAAGTTTCTGCTTAATAGACGTGCAAAAAATAGTGTAATTTAAGAATTTTTTGACTTAATTAGTGTTTTTGTTGTAACCGCAGTTGAATTTTTTTTCCTTTTCAAAAAAATTACCAGCTCTAAGAATTTTTACAAAAGTTTAGAATTTTTTTCTTGCGCAGTTACGTAGGATTGTGTATAACCGTAGCACAGAAAAAAAATTGACAAAAGATCTCAAAACTAGAAACTTAAATCGTTAACATTTTGCTAATTTTTGACTGAGTATGGCAAATTCTTGAACAAAAAACAGAGTTTTTAGGCTACAAATTTGGTTAAACTTTTAAAAAAGGCAAAAATTAAATAGTTTTCGGCCTAATTCTGTGATTTTTAACTTCTTTTAAAAGCAATTCTGTAAAATAATAGCGTTTCTAGGTAAAAAAACTTGCCAAAAAACACAAAAGTAATATCAGTTTTGACATATTTTGTTGATTTTTGGGTTTGTTTTAGCAAAATTTCACGAAAAAACTAACACTTTATTACAAAAATGTGCTTGAAAGCATTTTAGACCATATTTTGTGGTTTCTCAGCGTATTTTTGTGTTACTTTTACTCAAAAATCAGTTAAATCAAATGAAACAAACAAAATAATATTCATATCAATTATTTTTGTGATTTTTGGGCGTGTTGGATAAGATGTTTCAACAAAGTAATTACAAACAATTTTGTAATTTGTGATTTAAAATTTTTTTGATTTTATCCCAAAAACGTGCAAACACCCGAAAAAGGTAAAAAGCTTCAGCTTGTTTTGAACAAGGTTTTGCCAAATAATAGAGTTCCTAGGTAAAAAAAAAACATTCTAAAACGCTAGAAAAATGTAAAAATAAAATAATTTTCGACTTAATGTGTTGACTTTTTGGATCGTTGTAGCTAAAAACATAAGACTTTACCACAAAAACTTGGTTAAAAGCATTTTGGACCAAATTTTGTGGTTTCTGGGCTTGTTTTTGTGTTAATTTTGTTCAAAACCCATTTAAATCAAGCAAAACAAACATAATATAACATTATAAAATAAACAATAAATATCTGTGTCAAAAGTGAAGAAAGCCGTGCAAAACAAGCCAAAAAAATAAAAACAATTTCGATTTAAATTTTGTAATTTTTTCAGAATGTTTAAACAAAATTTTCCGCTTTTTTGGTTTGATCTCAAAAATGTGCTTAAAAACTCAAACAAGGCAAAAATAACACCATTTTTTTAGTCTTATTTTGTTGAATTTTTGGTTTATTTTTAACGAACTTTTGCGAAATAATTGTGTTTTTAACAGAAAAATTTACCTACTAAAGCATTCGAAAAAAGCAAAAAGTATAAATTACCATTTATTTTAATTATTTTTAACCAATTTGGTGGATTTTCTATTTTTTGTTTTGACGAGATTTTGCAAAATAATCAAGTTTTTGCTTAAAAAACGTTCAAAAAATAGTGTTATTTAAGTATTTTTTTACCTAATTTACTTACAAATAATTTTGCTTTTATCCCAAAAACGTGCTTAAATACCCAAAAAGGATAAACAATTTTCACCTTATTTTGAACAAGATTTTGCCAAATAATAGAGTTTCTAGCTAAAAAAAAACGTACTAAACGCTCGAAAAATGTAAAAATAAAATAATTTTCGACTTAATGTGTTGACTTTTTGGTTCGTTTTAGATAAAAACTTAAGACTTTACTACAAAAACTTGTTTAAAAGTATTTTAGACCAAATAATTTTGTTCAAAACAAAAAAAAACAGATATTTGATAATGTGAATAATATGACCTCGAGGCTATGCCTCTCGGGCCACACATTTATTTGATTATACTGTAAATACAAAGAAGGTATTTATAAATACTCTAGTTCCAAAACAAATATTTTAATAAAAAATAATTTTCCATTTAGAAAATTTAGGTTTTCATATAGGTTTTTTACGATGTTAATAGAATTACAAAAAAATCAATTACCTCGATGAGTTCGTCGAAATCTTTCATATCGAATCCTTCGCATTCCCCCAGTGGTAAACGAATTTTATTCAAGTTGAAAAATCTCACAGCAATACCTTTAATTACCGCAATTTTAGGAAAAAGTCTCGCGTCATTGGTCAATATATTTCTTACTCCTTTCAATAAATAAATAAACAAGAGATTGTCCCATGGTAATATACTATTTAAAAAGTATGGTTCTCCTACTACCATATTAATTTTCTCCGGATTATCACTCACAAGAGTTTCAATGTTTTCAAAAACTTCAACATTTGTTATTTCATTGAATTGAATAAAATCGAGTAGAATTTTTCGTGATAAGTAATTCGTTTCAACATAGTAGATTTTTTTCGCCCCCATTTTAGACGCACAAAGACTTAAGTAAAATCCATCACTCAAAATCAAAATCACGCTTTTACTATCAATACATTTTTCCAAAAGACTGATATATTTTTTATTTCTCGTCGAATCATTAATTTGGCCGATTCTTGTCCGTGAGAATGTCATATGTAGACCACATTCACAAATCGGTTTCACATAATCTGCGTCCGTGAGTCTCAAATCCAAACGAACATTAAACCAAAGCGAAAACTCATCATGACTGCTAACTAAATGCATTTCTGTGTCTTTTTCAATCGTAATTTCCTGGGGTAGGTAGTAAATAGCTTGCATCCAGTGATCCCGCCAGGGTAAAGTCACATCAGACTTGTCTTTAGCCCAATTTGGGGCACAACTGAGAATTATTTTGCCCTCAGTGTCCATCTGTAAGTCCCACCACATGAAAACCACTTGTGCCACCCCTCCCTGTGTTGCTTTAATACTGTGAATGGTTGATTGTTCAAAAATAAACGGGGTTTTCCCCGACCAATCGAACCTAAAGACCGGGATTACGGGGGTTAAAAATTTAAGACAGTCTAATTTCATTTGACTTAGTTGCAAGTCATGAACTGAGGCATTTCCGGGACAATTTCGCACATTTGTGGGTATTTTAATAAGAAGTTTCCCTTCATTATCATACACGTCTTTCACTTTGTTCCAATTTTGCACAAGGGGGCTTTCGATAACTTGGGCATAAACTGTCGCAGATTGGGGCACCACGACACAATCTTCCTCTAAGAGGACTTTATGTGCGTGGGTGAACGTCGACAAGGCCCCCTCACCAATCAATTCCGTGTCAAATACTTCAGTCACTAGGATATTACAAGGGGTGAGGAGGTCGCCCCCGGGCCCCACTGTCATATCTGTGGATCTTTTCGGTATTATTTTAATCTTGTCTTCGAAACCGTTGCGTTTTATCACTTTGAGGGCACACTCACTCATGGGTTTGAAGGCTTCGCAAGCGGTCACTGAATCAGCCCCATGACGAACTGCCATCATTGAGAGTAAACCAGTTCCAGTTCCGATGTCCAAGACGTTTGCTTTTTTGCCGTGAGAATGCATTAGGTCAATTGCGTGTTTTAGGGCCATTTCGTATTTCTTGTTTCTTTCCGTGTCGTGGAGCATGTCTGCGAATGAAGATCGGGCTACTTCTTGGTGGAAATCGTAGTCTTCTTGTTGAACGACCCAGTCATTTACACCCGTCATGGGGTTCAGTTTTTGGATGAAGATACTCATGGTGTGGTAATTGTTTTTGAAAATGCTACAACAAACGCGAAATGTGATCATTTAAATGCGGTGTTTTTTACGGTTATGTTTACCTGTCAAATGTCACTTACCAGTGTTGCCAGTCTGACAAAATAAAACTCACCAGATCTGAATTTGATTTTAAATCTTTGAATCTTTCTTCGTTGTTTTTTTTTTACTTAAACTCAGTTAAAGCCTAAGAGTTAGCTAAAAATATAAAATAATCTTGATTGTTTAACATTTTTTGGTGATTTTTTACTCAGTATGGCAAAATCTTGCACAAAAACGAGTTTTCAGGCTACAAATTTGGTTAAACGTTAAAAAAGGGCAAAAATTAAATCGTTTAACTTGTTTTAAAAGCAATTCTGTACCACAATAGCGTTTCTAATTAAAAAAAAAATGCCAAAAAAACACTTATCTACAAAAGTAATATCACTTTTGACTTATTTTATTGATTGTTTGGTTTGTTTTAGCAAAATCTCACAAAAAACCTAAAACCTTATTACAAAAATGTGTTTGAAGGTATTTTCGATCACATTTTGTGGTTTCTCAGCTTATTTTTGTCTTAATTTTGCTCAGTTAAATCGAATAAAACAAACAAAATAATAACATTAATATCAATTATTTTTGTGATTTTTTAGGCTTGTTATTGGTTAAGATTTTTCAAAATAAATAAAACCCTGATTTAAAAAAAAATTAAACAATTTTGTAATTTGTGATTTAAAAAAATTTAGCTTTTATCCCAAAAAGAATTTTTTCAGCTAGTTTTGAACAAGATTTTGCCAAATAATAGAGTTTATAGGTAAAAAAAAACATACTCAAAAATGTAAAAATAAATTTTCGCCTTAATGTGTTGACTTTTTGGTTCGTTTTACCTAAAAACTTACGACTTTACTACAAAACTTATTTAAAAGCATTTTAGACCAAATTTTGTGGTTTCTCGGTTTATTTTTGTCTTAATTTTGTTCAAAACCCGTTTAAATCAAGTAAAACATTATAACATTATAAAATAAACAACAAATAAATAAACATGTCTCTCAAAAACGAAGTAAGTCAAGTGAAACAAACTAAAAAATAACAACAATTTCGATTTAAATTTTGCCTGTTTAAACAAAATTTTCCGCTTTTTTGTTTTGATCTCAAAAACGTGATTAAACACTCGAACAAGAAAATAATATAAATTTCGATGTTATTTGGTAATTCTTAAGCCAGTTTTATAACGAAATTTGTCGGAAAAATATTTTGTTATCTAAAAATGTACTTACGCTAAAAAACAAGACAAAAATAACACCATTTTTAGTCTTATTTTGTTGAATTTTTGGTTTATTTTTAACGAACTTTTACGAAATAATTGTGTTTCTAACAGAAGAATTTACCTACTAAAGCATTCGAAAAAAGCAAAAGTATAAATTGTCATTTATTTTAATTATTTTTAACCAGTTTGGTAGATTCTCGATTTTTTTTGAGAAAATTTACCAGAATAATCAAGTTTTTGCTTAAAAAACGTTTAAAAAATAGTGTTATTTAAGTATTTTTGACCTAATTTACTTACAAATAATTTTGCTTTTATCCCAAAAACGTGCTTAAATACCCATAAAGGATAAACAATTTTCACCTTATTTTGAACAAGATTTTGCCAAATAATATAGTTTCTCGCTAAAAAAAACGAACTAAACGCTCGAAAAATGTAAAAATAAAATAATTTTCGACTTAATGTGCTGACTTTTTGATTCGTCTTAGCTAAAAACTTAAGACATTACCAGAAAAACTTGTTTAAAAGCAGTTTAGACCAAATTTTGTGGTTTCTGGGCTTATTTTTGTGTTAATTTTGTTCAAAACCCATTTAAATCAAGTAAAACAAACATAATATAACATTTAAACATAAACAATAAATATCTGTTTCAAAAATAAAGAAAGTTAAGCATAATAAGCTAAAAAATAAAAACAATTTCGATTTAAATTTTGTAATTTTTCAACCTGTTTAAACAAAATTTTCCGCTTTTTTGGTTTGATCTCAAAAATGTGCTTAAACACTCGAACAAGGCAAAAATAACACCATTTTTAGTGCTATTTTGTTGTGCTCCTAACAGAAAAATTTACATTTTTCAAGCCTGCTCTATTTTTAACCAATTTGGCTGTTTTTCGATTTTTTTTGAGAAAATTTTGCAAAATAATCAAGTTTCTGCTTAAAAAACCTGCAAAAAATAGTGTCATTTAAGTATTTTTTAATCCAATTTACTTACAAATAATTGATATGTTTTTGTTGTAACCGCAGTTGAAAATGTTTTTTTCATTTTCAAAAAAATTACCAGATTTGATATAAGAATTTTTACAAAAGTTTAGAATTTTTTTCTTGCTCTGTTACGTAGGATTGCGTATAACAGTAGCACAGAACAAACATTGCCAAAAGATCTCAAAACTAGAATCTTGCACAATTTTTTGATTTTTAACTTGTTTTAAAAGCAATTCTGTAAAATAATAGCGTTTTAGCAGAATTTCACGAAAAACTTAACACTTTATTACAAAAATGTGGTTCCTCAGCTTATTTATTCAAAATAAATGCCCCTGGTTAAAAAACAAAGTAATTACAAACAATTTTGTAATTTGTGATTTAAAAAAAAAATTGATTTTATCCCAAAAACGAAAAAGGTAAAAAACTTCAGCTGGTTTTGCCAAATAATAGAGTTCCTAGGTAAAAAAAAAACATTCTAAAACGCTCGAAAGATGTAAAAATATAATAATTTTCGACTTAATGTGTTGACTTTTTGGTTCGTTTTAGATAAAAACCTAAAACTTTACTACAAAAACTTGTTTAAAAGCATTTTAGACCGTTTCTCGGCTTATTTTTGTCTTTATTTTGTTCAAAACCCGTTTAAATCGAATAAAACAGTCATACCGAAACATAAAATAAACAATAAATAAATAATAATCTGTTTCAAAAATAAACAAAGTCGAGCAGAACACGTTAAAATTAATAACAATTTTGATTTAAATATTGTTATTTTTCAGCCTGTTTAAACAAAATTTTCCGGTTTTTTGTTTTGATTTTAAAAACGTGCCTAAACACTCGAACAAGGCAAATTTATTGCTATATTTAGCCCTAAACTTTTGGCTTATTTTTAACGAAATTTCGCGAAATAATTGTGTTCCTAACAGAAAAATTTACCTGCTAAAGCATTCAAAAAAAGCAAAAGTATAAATTATCATTTTGATTTTTTTGAGCAAATTTTGCAAAATAATCAAGTTTCTTAAAAGACGTGCAAAAAATAGTGTCATTTAAGTATTTTTCGACCTAATTTACTTACAAATAATTGAAAAATTAGTGTATTCAGTAACCGCAGTTGCAAAATTTTTTTCATTTTCAGAAAAAATCAAGAATTTTCACAAAAGTTTTTGCCAAATGACTACATTAGAATCTGGTGTCCAAATTTGTAAAAACTTCATTTTAGGATTGATAAAAATGTTTATTGCCCAAATACACCAAACAATTGTTACTAAAACGACTACTAGAACACATGTAATTTTCCCATCTTGACTTTTCCATTTCTAATTTACGTTGGTGGTATTTCTTGTTCCATTCTTGTCAACTGAATATTCCTATCAGTATCTGTTCCAGGCCCTGCAAATTCCCCAGACCGCAATCGAATCCTCATATCCAGACATCTAATATCAGTCATCAACGAATGACCTTTATTTTCCAAATCAGTGTCAATAATAATTTGTTGATTCTCCAACGCATTATATGTGGCTTTAGCACAATTAATTTTATTAATTAGATCATTTCTCGTTTGTCTCAATTGTGTAACCTCATTTTTCAGACCTGATTCAGTCTCGTCTCTGGCCAATTCGAAACCAGGACGATAAGCTCTATTTTCTAACCGAGTTTCGCATAATTTCAAAGCATCAGTTTTTGCTAGAAGTGCATCTTGTAATGTTTTAATCTCTTTAAGAAGTTTATCCATTTCCTCTCGCATTTTGAATTGTTGCCATTCGAGTTCGTTACGGGCTTTTTGCGTTTCGTAGATTCTTTTACGAAGAGTAAAATCGACTCGATCTCTTTGAGCCCTCAAATCATTTCGGGCTCTTTCTCTCACTACGAATAAAGCTTCTCGGAGTTTGTGAGTGTCGGCAAGTTCGTTATCTGATAGTTCTTTGATGTAGCGAGAATGTTCCAACCAAGCTTCATACGGGATTGAACTAAAATTATTGATTAATTACACTACTCTAAAAAATTAAAGGAACAATATTTTTTGGTGATTTTTGAAAGGCTGTACTTATCGAAAAATGGTCGTATCTAGATTTTATAAAAACCATTTTAAGTTTCTAGTTTTAAGATCCTTTAGCAATTTTTTTTGTGCTACGGTTATCACGCAATCCTACGTAATAGTGCGCAAAAACATTCAAAACTTTAGTAAAAATTCCTTTCTCGTGATTTTTTTGAAAATGGAAAATTTTGGTCAAAACATATTTAAATGACACGATTTTTGCGTTTTTTAAGCAGAAACTTCTTTATTTAGCAAAAATTTTTTGAAAAAAAATTATTTATGCTTTGTTTGAGTATTTAAGCACGTTTTTGAGAACAAAACAAAAAAGCGGAAAATTTTGTTTAAACAGGCTGAAAAATTACAAATTTAAATCGAAATTGTTATTATTTTTTAGCTTGTTTTACTCGACTTTCTTCATTTTTTATAATGTTATATTATGGTTGTTTAACTCGATTTAAATGGGTTTTGAACAAAATTAAGACAAAAACAAGCCGAGAAATCACAAAATTTGGTCCAAAATGCTAAACAAATTTTTGTAGTAAAATCTTAAAAGTTTTTAGCTAAAACGAACCAAAAAGTCAACACATTAAGTCGAAAATTATTATAGTTTTACATTTTTCGAGCGTTTTAGAACGTTTTTTTTTACCTAGAAACTATATTATTTGGCCAAATCTTATTCAAAACAAGCTGAAATTTTATACCTTTTTCGGGTGTTTGCACGTTTTTGGGATAAAATCAAAAATTTTTTAAATCACAAATTACAAAATTGTTTGTAATTACTTTGTTTTTGAACCAGGGGCTCATTTATTTTGAAAAATCTTACCCAACAAGCATAAAAATCACAAAAATAATTGATATTAATGTTATTATTTTGTTTGTTTCATTTGATTTAACTGATTTTTGACTAAAATTAACTCAAAAATATGCTGAGAAACCGCAAAATGTGGTCTAAAATGCTTTTAAGCACATTATTGTAATAAAGTGTTAGGTTTTTCGTAAAATTTTGCTAAAACAAACCAAAAAATCAACAAAATATGTCGAAATTGATACTCGTATTACTTTTGTAAGTGTTTCAAGTATGTTTTTCACCTAGTAACGCTATTATTTTACAAAATTGCTTTTAAAGCAAGTTAAAAATCAAAGATTTAGGCCGAAAATAATTTGATTTTTGGTTTTTTCTTGAGTTTAACCAAATTTGTAGCCTGAAAACTCAATTTTTTGTGCAAGAATTTGCCATACTGAGTCAAAACTTACCAAAATGTTAAAGATTTAAGAATTTTTTTATGTGTTACGGTTATCACGCAATCCTACGTAATAGCGCAAGAAAAAAAAATTAAACTTTTGTAAAAATTCCTTTCTCGTGATTTTTTTGAAAATAAACAAAATTTTCACACTATTTTTTGCATGTTTTTTAAGCAGAAACTTGAATATTATGCAAAATTTAAAAAAAAATCACCGGATTGGTTAAAAATAAAGCAGGGTCAAAAAATGAGAATTTATACTTTTGCTTTTTTCGAATGCTTTAGTAGGTAAATTTTTCTGTTAGAAACACAATTATTTCGCAAAATTTCGTTAAAAATAAACAAAAATTCAACAAAACAGGACTAAAGCACGTTTTTGAGATCAAAACAAAAAAGCGGAAAATTTTGTTTAAACAGGCTGATAAATTAGAAAACTTTAATCGAAATTGTTATTATTTTTTTAGCTTTTTCTGCTCGACTTTGTTCATTTTTGAAACAGATATTTATTATTTACCTATTTATTGTTTATTTTATAATGTTATATTATGTTTGTTTTACTCGATTTTAAATGGGTTTTGAACAAAAACAAGCCGAGAAATCACAAAATTTGGTCCAAAATGGTAAACAAGTTTTAAGATCTTTTAGCAATTTTTTTTGTGCTACGGTTATCACGCAATCCTACGTAATAGCGCGCAAAAATATTCAAAAGTTTAATAAAAATTCCTTTCTCGTGATTTTTTTGAAAATGAAAAATTTAGGTGAAAACATATTTAAATGACACGATTTTTGCGTTTTTTAGGCAGAAAAAATCACCGAATTGGTTAACAATAAAGCAGGGTTTTTTACTTTTGCTTTTTTCGAATGCTTTAGTAGGAAAATTTTTCTGTTAGAAACACAATTATTTCGCAAAAGTTCGTTAAAATAAACCAAAAATTCAACAAAATAAGACTAAAAAAATGATTACAGATTACAAAATTGTAATTACTTTGTTTTTGAACCAGGGGCTCATTTATTTTAAAAAATCTTATCCAACACGCCTAAAAATCACAAAAATAATTGATATTAATGTGACTATTTTGTTTGTTTCATTCGAATTAACTGATTTTTGAGCAAAAATTTAGGCAAAATAAGCTGACATACCACAAAGTGTGGTCAAAAATAATTACAAGCACATTTTTGTAATAAAGTGTTAAGTTTTTCGTGAAATTTCAAAACCAAAAAATCAACAAAATAAGTCAAACTTGATATTACTTTTGTAAGCATGCTTTTTACCTAGTAACGCTATTATTTTAGAAAATTGCTTTTAAAACAAAAATCGCAAAATTAGGCCGAAAACGATTTAATTTTAGCCTATTTTTTTAAAGTTAAATCAAATTTGTAGCCTGAAAACTCCGTTTTTTGTGCAAGAATTTGCCATACTGAGTCAAAAATTACAAAATGTAAAAGATTTAAGTTTTTAGTTTTGATATCTTTTAGCAAACTTTTTTGTTTTTGCTTTTGTTCCTTTAATTTTTTTAGAGTAGTGTAATTAAAAAAAAATAGTTTGACACCTACTTTTTCACAATTCGTAACGGATCAGTTTTAAAACTTATGTTAGCACAATTTTTATCCAAAGTTAGTTGATCTTTATCAATTTCAATGGCTTCGGTTTTGTCATTTAATTCCAAATTTAATTTGAAGCGAACTTCTTCCAATTTGTTTAGTTTTTCCCAAGCTGCTTGGCACCGCTCAACTAGAAGCTTTTTGACTCCTTCAACAACACACAATTCCTGAAATTTCAATAATAATTAAAACTTGCAAATTCATTTTTTTTTCAGACCCTTTTCAGTTCGGTGTCACCGTCATCGTAGGTCAATTCCGCCCCTTGTCGGCAGTCTCTCATCGAAATGCATTCGGCCACAACTCCAAGTGGGATTCCCAGAGCGTCCAACTCTCTTTCAGTCGAAAATTTTTCGTCTTTCAGTGACAAAATTTCTTTATTGACTCTCTCTAAACAAGATTTCAGGACATCTCTCCATCTGTCGAGCTCTGTAATGCGATCAGCTAGACGCACATTGTTGTGGTAAGTGTCCCATTCTGTTCGAATGTTAGTTTCATTTCGTAATTGTCTCGATTCGTGTCTTAAATTGAAGGCGTCGGTTCTTCGAGTGTCGTTGGTTTGTTGGTTTTGCCACTGTTTGGCATACCAGTCTGCTAATCCGATGTGTTGAATCGGTTTTTCGTATGTTACTACTGACATGTTGGGTTTTGCAAGAAATTATAAATTTTAAACAACACTACTGACAACTATGAAAATAATATTGACAAAATATTTGGTGTTTTTCACTGCCATGGAGACTGGATTTGATTAGGATTGATCAAACGGAATTACAATAGAAGCACATAAAATGTAAACAGATTTAAACGAGACCTTAATGGTGAAATATCGATATAAGTACAAATTACAAAATTTGAGGTTTATAGTGTTTTTATTTGCAATCGCAAAAAAAAAATCGAGAGGCCGTTAGCTGGAAAAAAATGTGTACAACTAATTCCAATTCCAAAAAAAAATTCCACCAAAATTCCAGTGATTCCAAAAAAAATCCAGTAATTACAATAATCCATCGAACTAACATTGTTTTTTCAGATTAATTCCTATAATTCCAAATTAATTCCTGTAATTCCAAATATCTCAGAAATGATGGTTCTTAGAAAAAAAGTATAAAGACCATTTTTGTAGATAATTTTAAGATCTATAATTTTTGTCTGGACTACGTTTTTGATAAAACTTACCGTTTTCGAAAAAAATCTAAAAAACGCCAAATTTTGACCTTGGACCCAGAATAACTTTTTTAGCACACATGGGATCGATGGGGACTTTTGACACTTTATTTCTAATTGTGTACCCAAAGTCTCCACCAAAATTTAGCTCTGTCGGAATTTTCGTTATTTGACCACTATTTTTATGACTAATTTGACCGGACTAAGAAGTACATAAAATGTAAACAGATTTAAACGTGACCTTAATGGTGAAATATCGATATAAGTACAAATTACAAAATTTGAGGTTTATAGTGTTTTTATTTGCAATCGCAAAAAAAAATCGATAGGCCGTTAGCTGGAAAAAAATGTGTACAACTAATTCCAATTCCAAAAAAAATTCCACCAAAATTCCAATGATTCCAAAAAAAATCCAGTAATTACAATAATCCATCGAACTAACATTGTTTTTTCAGATTAATTCCTATAATTCCAAATTAATTCCTGTAATTCCAAATTAATTCCTATAGTTCCAACTTAATTCCTGTAATTCCAACTTAATTTCCATAATTCCAAAATAATTCCTGTAGTTCCAAATTAAACAAAGCGAAGAAATTTAACTTGATTTTGAAACGAAATTATACATATGTACAGGGTGACCCAGGGGTTCGTGCACGCTCTATAACTTTTTTTCTATTCAAGTTATCAACATGATTTTTTTTTTAAACGATAGATACAACAATGAGGCACATTATAAAAATATTTCTATTCATATACAGGCTGGCCCAAATAAGATACACAACTAAGTTCCGTTTTTTTAAATGAAAACCCCAATTTTTTATTACATATTTGGATTTGCCACAAATTGTCACCTTGGTTTCTTAGACCTGCAATAGTTTTTGACTTATGCCAATTTATGTGTCAAAATTGCATCGTGCATAGACCCACAAAAAAAATTAATAACTTTAAAACTATTCAAGACAACTTAACCAATTTTTTTCCAGTCGATGCCTTAAGCTTTAGCACATCTTTTGAGAAAAAGGCAAACTCGGAGTCGATGTTTCATCGCCTACTACGATTTTTTGAAAATGACAAAATACAAATGGCAATAACTCGTTTTTTTTTAATACAACACTTTATATTTTATTGCATCATTACATGGCATTTTTTATGAGCTTTTTGTCGATGTAGGGTTTATGGGATTTACTTTGTAAAATTTGTACGATTTTTGCAAAATAAGAAATGTTGATGGTAGTAGATTCTGTCTTGAGGTATGGTGTCTGTTTTGGGGCAATTCCATTTCCAATTACGCATTTTTAATAAATTATCTTTCAACATGAAAAATATAAAGACGATTTATAATTTTAAATATAAACTAAAGGAACTTTTACTAACGCACTGTTTTTATTCATTAGAGGAATTTTTGGACTGTAAATTTTAATTTCTATTGTTTAAATTTGTATAGTTTTTGTATGTTTCTTTTCTTGTACGACAAATCCTATTTAATGTATGTATTTCATTATCATGGGAAATAAAGTTATTATTATTACTATTATTATTATTGAGATAATCATCATTATTTATTTTTTTCGTTAAAGTTGCAAAAGCCAAAAATGTAGAAGAAAATTAATAAATACCGACCTAATCAGGTTGGTAACATACAAGAAAATTTAATAATAATTATTAATTATTGCCATTTGTGTTTTTTGTTTTTTTTTTTCAATTTTGCATCGGAAAGAAAGCTTACTTCGATATCAAAACTGATACTTGCAATTTGCGTGTTGAAATAGACTAGACTTTCTAGAGGTTGGTAATGGTATTCATTGTTATTTCAACAAAATTGTGAAAAACACTCGAGACTTGACACTTCAAAAATCGAATTATTCACACTTTGTGTCATTTATTATTATTACCAACCACTACCTTATTAGAGCAAAAGTTCCTAAATTTTGAAAAATCAGCTTTTATGATAAAAAAATCACATGAAACGCACTAAATAAAAAAAATTGCCTAAAAAAACTTGTCTCATGGGAACTCGTTCTTTATAAAACTCGCGCTGTTTGTTGACTGTAGTAAAAAAAGTAAACCGCTTGGTGTCATTTATAACTTATTTATTTGGAAACGTAATAATTATAAAACTATATAAATCATAACAAACACAATCTTATTTATAGCCATCACAGAAAATGTTAAGTAGGTTTAATAATATAATAATAATTTCACAAGATATTACGCAACTTTATGAAAAAAGTTCCAAGTTTATATAAACATATAAATGTTAACATTTTTATTATTTACATAATTAATTACAACAACAAAAAAATAATTTAAGGCAAAAATAATAAACTGAAACAAAGCTACTCCAAAAAATTTCTCGCTTACAAACCATTAAAAAAATTAAATATAAAGCTTAAATAATTGCATAAAAAAATATTACAAAATTAGTCACATAAAATTCTACTAAAGCGTATAACATACGTATATTATTGGTTCTAAACGGAAGAAACAGTAAACGACAATAAAATCTCTGATAAAATTAGAAACCAGGAGTTATTATTGCTTTGGAGAATAATATTTCAAATTAATAAAAGTTATTTATATTAAAAAATTAATGTAATTCTAGCTTTTTAAAAATATCTATGTAGGTATATGAAAAATGTTATTGTAACAAAATATGGATTTTATTCTTAATATTTAAATACATGTAGACGTAAATATGGCAAATGTGAGACAAATAATTTACAAAAGATGCTCTTTTTCATTAAAGTTTTTATAAATTATTTGTACAAACTTTTATTGAAGTGCTAGACGAATCAATCTAAGTGAAAAATTGAAAAACATGCTTTTAATCAGTTTTTGCACCTTAACGAGTATTTTCACTTAAAGAGAGACATCCTGTATTATACCTACAACTACTACTTAATGTCAATTATCAAGCTTTTATAAAATTATAAATATTTATTCTGGTTTCCCATAAGTATCCTTATTTTGATATCCACTGACGTAACCGGAAGTGTCAACAACTTCCTTTCTTCCTGCAATGCCTTTACCTTTTCCAGATTCATCGAAACGTTGTTTATGAGTGCCGGTGTATTTCGATGTGTCTGTTAATCTATCAACAGCACTTGGAGTCTTTCCTGCCTAAAAAATAAAAATTCATTTTTATGATTCTCAAAAAAAATACATTTTTTCATACCCCAAGTGCATGGACTCCAGGTTGTCCACAACTAGCCATTTTATTCTTAATTTCTTCAAGTTCGATTTTTTTGTTCTTGGCTAGATCCTCCAGAAATGTTTTATAACTCGTAATGTTGACTTTTTGCGACTTGAGTTTTTTAAAGTAGATGCCAGTATCTGTTGTTGTAATTTTTTTACCATCTATAACTTTGGCTTGTTTCATCCATTTGTCGCTGTTTGAAAGAGTTATGAGTTTTCCATCCGATTTCGGATCACCAAATTTAGCAAAAGCTTTGAAGTTTTCTTCAAAGGTTACACTACCAGGGTTGTTTGGAGGTACGGGAGATTTTGGGGCGTCTCCTGAACCATTTTCGAGTTTCAGGTTTTCTACTTCTTTAGTAGGTGGTTCCGAGTTACTTTCCGCGGACATGTTGCACCTAAATAATAATAATTATTATTTTGTAATAAAAAACAGCAAGTTTTCTATTTGTAATATTTTCTCTCCCAACAGGAAATAAAGCGAAGGTTTATTCTCCCGTTTTTGATAATCTAGTACTTTATTCCTTTGGGAATAAAATTAAAATTGCAATTGAATGAAGGGAATATTTTGACTAATTATTTTCATATTTTATTATTAATTTAGTCTGTTGGGAGAAAAGTTTTGTATGCATCTCTGAAATAAAAATCGTTAATCTTTTGAATGAAAATGCCCTCGGCTCCCTTCCGTCGCCTCTGGTATTTAATTCATTCTCGGCATTAAAATAGTTATTTATTCTCTTGATACATAAATAACTTTAGGTACCTAAATTTAAAACAATCTTTTAGGGATTTCGTCCAAATAAAAATATCAAAATAGCTTTATGTCCTATAAAATGAAAGAGAAACAAATAGTAATTCACAAGCTTTGATTACTTTTTCTGAAAAAAAAACAAGTTTTATGTATGTTTGTATAAATCGAGCTTTAAATTTTTTTTTGCTTATCAATATTATCATAATTATGTGGTTGTTGCAATTGTTATCATTCATGGGCAGATTGTTATGTAAAAAAATAAGAAAAACATAACTCGGAAACCAAAATAAATCTCTTTGAAAATTTTTATGGTAACTACATAGCATAAAAAAGTAGCTAAAGAAATACAGGACGTTTCAGAACTCGCACCCCAGAGAAAAATGCCTTGTAAGGTAAGATATTACAAAAATTTCGAATTTTTGAGAGTTTAAAATAGTATAGTATAGTATAAAATATCATATTTTTGACAGATAGAATTTTTTAAACATTTTTTTCCAAAACATTTAAAATATTCTACTACCTACCTCTAAATTTATTAACACTACCATAAAAAGGCCCCTTTTGTATACCATGGTCATAACAATTTTTAGAAAGAGAAAAAAAAGTTTCATCAATTAGGTATTTTGACCATTTTACTTGAGAAGCAGTTTTTGTAGGTGTTGCTTTTTTAAGTGCGGACAGTATATTTTGCTACTCATAAATTAACTGTTCTAAAAGTTTAAAACTTTATTTTATGTCTTGTAATTTTTTTCCAAAACAAAATTTATAAACCTTTTCTTTTTATACAGTTTGTCCGGAAAAACCGTTAGATCAAAATAAAAAAAAGTTTCAAAATGCGTCCTAAGAGAGCTAGACCCCACTGCAGGCGCAATTATCTCAGTAAATTGTTGAGATAAATTTATAAAAATTTCAATTCGGGGTAATTTCTGGTGTTATCAAAAATTGCGTGGGTGGTCAAGCTGTTCAAGACGTAAATTTTGTGTTGGAAACTCTTTTGAAATTTTTAAAAATGCATTTTCGGACATAAAAACTTTTTTCTTATTTGACCTAAGAAATTATCCCACGAAATATTCTAATATTTTTTTCGGACACTCTATACAGGGTGCGTCAGAACTCGCGCCCCAGAGAAAAATGCCATATAAGGTAAGATACCAGAAACATGGAAAAAATGTTAAAAAAAATTTATCTATAAAAATTTCGAAGTTATGAGGGTTTAAAGTTTGTACTTAGACTCTATTTATTTCTGTTGGAAAAATAATTTTACAATTTTTTTTGCTATAGGCTATTAAAAAAGGAAACAAGAAAGCTGTATCCTAAATTGTAACTCTGTTCAATGTTATTTGTGGCTTTTATTGGCAAAATTTTTGTACCTTTACTAAATAATTGTAAAAAACATATACAAGATAATCAGTATCATTAAATACATATGAAAAAATGTCAAATGTCAAAAAATAAATGTCAAAATTTTTTGACAGATAGAATTTTTTAAACATTTTTTTCATGTTCCTGGTATCTTACCTTACTTGAAAATTTTCTCTGGGGCGCGAGTTCTGGCGCATCCTGTATATAATATGTCTGATGATACCTACCTGTGAGTTTAAAATTTTCATGATTTTGAAGGTTATAATGTTCTCATATAAATGAAAAGAGCAATTAACAATTCTCACTTATGTGAGTTGGTATGTATTATTTATTGATAAACTTTATCGAATTTATCATCTTATTTGTTGATACAATTCAAACTTTTATCAGTATATTTATTAGGACATGTAACTGTATTTTTTACAACAATTTAGTATTAAATAAAGGAATAGGAGTATTCAACAATTACAAATGATGTCATTTTATAATTATAAATACTATATACAAAGAAGGAAATAAGTTAGCGTCATCCAAATAAGTGCAGAGTTTCGTTTAATTAATTCATTCCTTAAATTTGTTATTATTGTTACTTTTGCTATACTTATTGCTAGATAGCTAATATGTCGTTTATTGTGGATAAATTGTCGAAAATTGCCCTTACTTTAGCAGCATGAAAAAGTAAAATATCCACCAAATGGCAAAAATTGAAAAAAAAATTCTTCAACTGTAAATTAGCATAATTTCTGCACTAATACAGGGTGTCTCAGCGAGATGAAAAAGTCCATTAAGGACCTTTAAATGGTAAAATTAAAAAAAATGAATATTGAATATTGAATTGATAGATTATAACCTAGTGCATTACCTAAAATTATTTTCAACCATACAGCATGTCCCAAAATAAGTTACAATACAAACTTGTGTTTTTTTTTTTAATGAAACACCGTAGCTTTTTAAAACATTGTTTTTGCGCTAAACTTTTGTTAGTCGATTTTGCTTAGTTTTAGAAATAAGACGTTTTTTTTGACGAAAACAAGCACTTTTTAAAAATGTATTACACAAAAACTAAGAAATCTAGGAATATTTTTTTTTACTACAGCAAAGAAGAAGGTACAAGCTATAAGGTTGTAACATTTTTTTATTATTCTAAAACTAATCAAAATCGACCAATAAAAGTTAAAACATTGTCTTAAAAATCAACATCTAAAAACGCTCAGAAACATATGGTGTTTCATTTAAAAAAACACAAGTTTGTATTGTAACTTATTTTTGAGACACGCTGTATAGTTGAAAATAATTTTAGGCGACTTGAATAGTATCTATAAATGTCGTATATACAGGGTGTTCCATTTTTATTGTTACAAGTTTAAACATGTGATAGAATATTCAATTTTAAGATAAAAGTTTCCCATGAACATGTATTAAAAAATACTATGCAAGGGAGCTACACTCTCTGAAAGGGGTGTATGTTTTAATAGACTTTATCCAATATTTCAGCAACCATTTTAGATAAAATTACAAAATTTGGTACAGTTGATTACCTTTATGTCAAAATTTTTAATCAGGGGCGTCTTAAACTAGGGGGATTTGGGATAAAAAGTACTACAACTATTTTGGCTGAAGTTTCTTGTTACTTTTAAAAAGAAAAATTCTAAATTCCATAGTGTTTTACAAAAAAGAGATCTCTTGCGTTTTGCAGTACAACTTACCCTTTTTGAGTAAAATCTTTTTAATATTCATGTTACACTTGTTTTGTTGTGTTTTTTACCGAAAAAAATGGTCAAATTTGGTCGAAAATCATACTATATTTGCTTTTTTGAACGTTTTAACATGTTTTTAAAACTCAAATTTTGAATAAGACTTCATCGAGACAAGATAAAAAATCACGAAATTAAATCGAAAATGATGTTATTTTTCACTTTCTCAGGCGTTTAAGAAACTTCTTCAGCCAAAAATGCATTTTTTTGCAAAATTTTGTTCAAATGGGTCCTAAAATCGATAAAATTTGTGCTATTTTTGCATTTTTAAGCAGTTAAATACATTTTAAAGTTAATAAACTGAGTTTTTTTGCTGAAACATACCAACACTTACCAAATTAGATCGAAAAATGATAATATTTTGCCGTTTCAATTATCCTTGAACCTTTTTAGTATAAAATTTTGTTCAAAAAGGTTCAAAAATTACCAAATTAGATCGAAAATAATGCTGTTTTTGACATTTTCGACAGTAAAAACATGTTTTTCAGCTAAAAACTTTTTTTTGCAAAATTTCGCTAAAATAGGCCACAAAATCACTAAACTAGATTCAAATTACCGTTCTATTTTGGTCTGTTTTATTGGATTTATTTTGGTGACCTAAAAATCTTTTTTTTTGAAAAAATTCATTCTGATGCAAAAAACCATCAAGTTAGTGCACCTTTTAAAGCGTTTAACATGTTTTTGAGTTAAAAGCTGTTTTTTTTTAATTTTGCAAAATTTTGGCAAAAAATGACTAAATTTGGTTGAAAATAACATTATTTTTGACTTATTTAGTTGAAAATGCACTTTTCCTTTGCGACATTTTGTTCAAGTAAGCCGAGTAATCTCTTATTTAAATAGGAAATAGTGTTTTTGCTTATTTTTGAGTGAAAATCTTAATTGTTTTTGATCAAAACATGCCCAAAAATTAAATAGGRAAAAAACTGTATTATTACCTTTTATTTTCAAACAAATATATTTTTTTCAAAAAATGTTGCTAAAATAATCAAATTAGGAGTCGAAAACGAAATTATTTTTGCCTTTTTCAAGTAAAATGGTCCAAAAAATTAGCAAATTAATTTGAAAATTGTATATTTTTTGATATATTTTTTTTAAACTGTGGGTTAGGATAGAAAAAAACTCTAAATATTTTGACTGAAGTTTCTTGCCACTTTCAGCAACAAAATTTTAAATTCCATAGTTTTTCACAAAAAAGAGTTCTTTTACGTTTTTTTTATGTAACCTTATTAAAAACGCACCCCTTTCAGGGGTCACTATTGGATTTTTTCAACTCACTGGGACACCCTGTATGTGTACATACAGAAAGCAAAAATGCAATTATAATAATATCACCTCCAATTAAATTTTTCTGAATTGTGTACTTAATGATAACAGTATTTATACGAAAAGATTTGATAATGTCAACTTTTCCTGTTGAATTCCTTAGCAAATAAAAGAAAGCCTGGATATTTTTTAAAGGTATTATATTTAATTTTTATTATATTAATTGTCTATCACTAGATATACATGTTATTCTGTTGTACAACATTTTATAAGGATAATAATAACTAACGTAAATAAAAATGAACACATTCCCAGTATGAGGTCATGTCTATTAGCGGTAGCACAACATTTTGATAAAGCAGGTACGATGAGATCAATACTTAATTTAGCAAAATATTCGATTCAACGAAAAAATCTTACATTTTTACACAAACTAGTTCTATTGATTAATTAATAAGCGTAACGGTAAAAACACTAAACAATAAAACATTAAACTGCGAGGGAGTATTATCGATAACATCATTATGTAAATTAGAAACTAATGACAATAAATTATTTATAAACTAAGGTGTACATCCGATGAAAAATATATTTATTTAATGACTTTCTTCACACCCAAAAACTCTGTATAACTGTTAGAACATGTGTTTCTAAAAATAATTGAGCATTTCCATTCATTAATAAAAGTCTTATTTTTCATGTGGGCAAGTACCTAAATTTAAATAGTGCGTTGATGTAAATTTGTAAACAAATCGCAGTTTGAGTTGAATTCAAAATTTGTTATGCAAATAAAGGTTTTATGTTAGGTATTTTAACATTCACTTGAATGTCATCTTCACTGTAAAGTACAAAAACATGAGCAAAATTTTGCCTTGACAATATACTTTTTGTAACATTTAGCTTTTTCCTAAGTAAATAAAGGTTTGGTGTATCACTTTCTTTTTTAAATATGATGTCATTCATTCCTAAATTTATCCCTAGGCGTCGGACTAGGGATCGGTGAGGGGTGAATTAAGGGTTCCATGCGCATTACAACAAATCGATTATTTTAATGAAACTAAAAATCCAAATAAATTTTCCAAAACAAATAAAATTTTGACTCGCATTTATCCAAGTTCAAATACGTTTTAATACCTTGCAATTATTTTTTTTACCTACTCAATTGTACACTTTTTAATCTAAAAATATTCCTTAAACAATACTAAAAGAAAAGGGAAAAAATGATGTTGGCTTGCGTGATCGAATCAATTTCCTTATTATTAAATATTAAATGTTCCGAGATTGTCTTGTTAGAGGAAAGAAGATGACATGAAAACTTACCTGTTTAGGATAAATTATCCTCACGTAAATCACCTGTTGTTGAATTTATTATTTAGATAAATGGAAAATATCACCGACACTAGCACGATGGCGTCTCTAAACACACTGCTCGCGATAACAGAGGAGCGTAAAAGTCGATGCAATTTCCCACAACGATGTTATCTTTCTCAATTTGGGTTAACAAAAATGATGTTATTAGGTTTTATAGTTGAAATGTTTGATTTGGTAAATAATGCAAAACAGGCAGCGCGGCTTCACCCTCAAGATATCGAATGCGCATTCCCAAATAATAATAAAAAATACTTACAAAAAAACTAATTTTTTCAAATTACTTTGAATGTCTCTGGGTTTGAAATATTGTGGTTTATCGTCAGCGAGGATTTCGCTCCTACCTAAAATTACTATACAGGATGTCCGAACAAACGTTGAACAATTTCGGAGCGTTTCCTAGGTCAAAATAATAAAAAAAGTTCTAATAGACCATTTTTTCTTACTTGGTGCTTTTTGGTTTATGCAACCATTTATACATTAAATAAAAACAGTGATTTTAACTTTGCAATCCTATTTTAGTTTAGATTTTGAGTTTGTTTTTTTTTAATCAAATCAACATAGATTGGTATATAATATACACGTGTCAAAAATTGGGGTAATAATTTTTAAATTTAGTTTTAGGGACCGGTAGCCAATGATCTAAGGTATAAAGTGCCAAAAAATATATCAAAATTCATGTTCAAATTAGTGAATTACAATTTTTTTCATTTATTTTGAAAGAAATTTTAAATATTCATTTTTAAATTTGTTGCTGAAATATTAATTCTGTACCTCAGAGCAAAATAGTAAGTCCAGTTTTTAAAATTAATTTTATGTACATAATTAAACAGCCAGTAAATTACTTGAAGGTTATAAAGCCCTTTTATTTCCATTTGATAATTTTTTGAAAAGGTGTAAGTAAAATATTATGAATATAACAGACATTTAAACAAAATTATAATTTTAAAAGTGCTCTAAAGAAAAATGTGTGTTTTAGTGGTTAATACTCTTTTGTTCTCAGGTACAGAATTAGTTCTGCAACTTTAATGAGAAATTATTCGTAAAATAATCTCCCCTAGTTGTGAATATTAAATGCCTGTAAAAAACTTTTACTTTTGTCTCAAAACTGATCATTTTTGTGCTATAAAATCACTTTGACTCATTCAGGTACCTACATAATGAAATAAATGAGATTTTTAAGAATTTTAATATGAATAATAAAGAAAAAAATAAAGTTGGAACATTCTAAGTAAGTAAGTAAACATTAAGTAATTAATCTGCGGCCTCGTTGCATCCGTCACCAAAACCTGAAAATAATTACTTTACAATGACCAAACTTTATAACTTACATTCTTACCTTCCTCAAGTTTGCCTTTTTGTTTTAATTCGTGATAAAACATGCCAAAATCTTCATTGAACTTAGCAAATTCTTCCATTTCTTCTTTGGCCGAAATAATATCAGCGCCAGCGTCGATCAAAATTTTAACAATTGCAAAACTGCGATTTCTTGTAGCTATTGCAAGAGGACTTTTTGCTTTTTTATCGTAGAAATTCACTGGAAGTCCTTGTTCCAAAAGGTATTTGACGAAAACGAAATTTTTAGTTTCAACTACATTTTGTAAGGTAAGAATGTCAAAATCATCCGTCAAAATATTCTTCAATTGAGCTTCAATCTTAATTAATTTCTTCACATATACAAAGTTGTCTTCCAATAAACACTTCCAGGGCCGTACCCAAGGGGGGGGGTTTAGGGGGTTCAAACACCCCCCCCCCCCCCCCCCCCCCCGCCCGAAATGCTGAGCACTTTGTTATAAGTGTTAAAAATTTAGTTTATTTGTTATTTCAATGAGTTGATTTTAAATTTTTGTGAATTAATTTTTCATGTGTTAATTATACAGTGTTTCATTTTTATTGTTAGGTACAAATTTAAATAGTTGATAGAATATTTAATTTTAAGACAAAAGTGTTTCGAAAAATGCTATGAAAGGGAGCTACACCCCCTAAAAAAGGTACGTTTTTTAAKGGGTTTTTCCTAATATTTCAGAATAGATAAAATTACAAAATTTGGTACCTTTATATGTACACCCAAACAAATGCCAAATAACAAAATTTTTAATCAGTTGCGTCCTAAACGGTAAAACAAATTTAATTTTTAATTTTTATGCTGTTTATGGTCTGTAACATAAATTTTTGAACCGATTTTTACTAAAAATCCGTAAATTGTATCGGAAAAACACAAAAGATCTTTTTTTATGAAAAACTATGAAATTTTGTTGCTGAAAGTGGCAAGAAACCGCAGGCAAAATAGTTAGAGTAAATTTTTACCCTAATCCCATCTAGTTTAGGAAGCACCTAATTACAAATTTCAACATTTTATTTTTGTACTTGTTTAGGTGTATAAAAGTTATCATTTGTAGCAAATTTTGATTTTTTTTTCTAAAATGATTTCGGAAATATTGAAAAATAAACTATTAAAAGACGCACCCCTTGCGTAGCATTTTTCGATATATGTTCATAAAAAAAATTTGTTTTAAAAATAAATATTCATCTCCTGTTTAAATTTGTAACAATAAAAAGTATTAAAAATTTAGTTTATTTTTTGTTACTTTTGTGAGTTAATTTGAATTTTTTTATGTTTAATTAGGATCTCTTATTTTATTTTAAAATAAAAACGTGTACTTAGAGATTTTTGATTTTTAATCCGCCTTCTTTCATTTGATTTTCATGGGCCAACAAGAAAAATGGCATACCCTAGAGGTGTGTAATAATAATCCAAAATGTCTGTTCTTTTATATTCTTGAGCAAGAGTTAAAGCAGTAGTTTCATTACGGTTTTGTTTATACATATCGGCCCCCTCATCAATTAAAAATCTAGCAGCCTCAAAATAATCTTCTTTAACAGATACTGAAAGTGGTGAATAATGTAAATACTGATGATAATTATATCGTGCAGTTTTATTTATATCTGCATTATTTTTTATAAGTAGCTTTACAATCTCTAATGAGCTTGGGTTGGACACTGGCAACGCCTCTAGTGGTAAAAGCAATGAACTAGGAGGCATTTTTGGGCAAAATATATTTATTCATAATTACATTGTGTTTGTTCAATTTGTTAAAGATTAATATTTTGTAATAAGTGCCAAAACCCTAAAAGGAATTTTTAGGTCTACCGTTAATTGAGACTTTTACATCAATCAAAATATCTCAAAAGCCAAACACTTTTTCAAAAAAAATGCCAACGCATCGGCCTATAGAATATTCTTTTAAATTATCTTACAAAAACCAAGAATGATTACTTGAAAAATGACTGAGTAAAGTTGTTTTCAAGTTCAGCATTTATGTATTATTGTTCTTTTTTTAAAGGTATTACATTTTTTTAAATCTCAACGTATCGGCTTGTAGATTTAAAAGAAACCTTCACTTTGATGTATAATACTTGAAATTCTGTTGTATATTAAAATAGAAATCTTGTTTTCAATATACTAACGTTTCGAATCGTTGGTTGGCTAGATTTTGTGTAATAAATATAAAAAACAGTTTTGTCAAAAAATAAAAGTTTGACTTTAAATAGACCAATAAAAGTTTTGAAAGAACTATAACAAATTACAAAAAAACCTTCCCAAAATTTTCAAATAATATGTCATTGTACGTCATTGTTTGTCAGATTTAAAATTTTCAACAAATTCTTGTGCGTATTTTCCCCACCAAATCATCCAGAAAAATGGCGGAAGGTGGCATGAGTTTGGAACAACAATTCGTCAATTTTTCAAAATTTGGAGACACAAAATCTGACGGTAAAACAATAACATTGACCCAAATCGACAAATGGTTAAAACAAGCCCAAGTAATTGGTAAAAAAATCACCACTACTGATACAGGAATCTGTTTCAACAAATTCAAGTAGATATTAGTATCAATAAATTTAAGAAAATTATGGAAACATGACTTTTCAGATCTAAAACCATCGACTGTGCAACTTTTGTGAAGTTTCTTGAAGACCTTGCAAAACAAAAAAGCATTCCAGTCGCTGAATTGAAAGAGAAACTCACAAGTTGTGGCCTACCCGGAACTTCAAAAACTACAGTATGCATTTTTTAATATTTCTTATATTTTTTACTAAGAGTAAACTAAATGGTAAAAAATCTCTTAATATTTTGAATTTCAGCAAGCCGTCCATACGGGGGCTGTTGATCGATTAACAGACACATCAAAATACACTGGGGCACACAAAGAACGTTTCGATGCTGAAGGAAAAGGTAAAGGAATTGGTGGACGTGAAGATTTAGCAGATAATCAAGGATATGTCTCTGGATACAAAGGAAAAGACACATATGATAACACACATTAAGACAAATAAATATTTTACTAAAATAGACAAATTTTGAGTGATACCTGGAAAACTATTAATGAAAAATAAGAACTGATTACATATTCGGATTCTGTGGACAATTCAGCGTAAAAAAAATTCTAATTTCGCTCCCATTTGTTTCCCATGTGACCGTGAAAAAATAAAAATGCAGTTCTTGCCAATGACGGTTTAAAAACGGTTTACAATTTTGGATTTATATAATTGACAAAAAAACAATGACAAATTTTACGAAAAATTTAACATTAGGGTCAAAATTTCAAAAATTATTAATAGTAAATAAAAACAAACATATTCAGAATCCTTGAACAATTTTGCATAAGAAAAATAATAAGAATTACAATTATAGTACCAGACTAGAAACGAGTTCAGGAATTTTATAAAAAATTGAGATTTGTTGGCTTATATCTCAAAACTATTAATGATGATAAATAAAAACTAATCACATACACTGAATCTTTGGAAAATTTTAGATAAAAAAATTTTTGTTTCAAGTTAGCTTTGAGTGAAGATGCACTTGGTATCTGAGTTTTGTAAACTTTTTAATTTTTAAAGATCAATACTTTACAAATCGCTAGCACATGAATAACAATAATAATAAAAAAAACTTTAATTTTTTATAATTTTAAAGTAAATCACTATTATGAACTACACGGAAGCCCAAGCTTATGTTGCGCCCTCAGATGGTTAATCAAATATTCCTTCCTTTTTGTTTTATGAGTGCAATGCGCACAGTAGAACCATTTATCCGAATGTTGATACTTTTGGTGCTTCATGAGGTAGCCCTTAACACTGGTTTTGGTATTAGTTTAACATAACATAAGTTAAAGTAACATAATTTTACACTCGCATCAATAAAATTTATAAAGTCTGCACAAAGGTTCATCATTTTCTTGTGCGACCTTTTTTGCATAAAAATAATTGTTTCATTTAAAAAAAAATACAATTCAGGCTAGGCAACAAACTATACAGTTTTGGTTTAAATCTGTTAAAAATAATCCGACGTTTCGTATTGAGAAATGCCAAACAGTTGTCCAAACTTCCTTACACAGGAGAAAAACCGTAGATTTTGACAGTGTTGAAGAATAAAAAATATAAACAGAATTTGTTTTTGGTCAAATTGACAATAGACTAAAAATTGATAATTTAAACATTTTGATGTTCTAATACCAAGAAACTTAAATTTAACATTACCTACTGATTTAATAATTTTTTTATAAATCCAAAAATAAAAGATGAAACAATGTCTTTTATATTTACTTATTAATTTTTTCTCATATTTATAACATTTAAACAAACAAAGATGAAAATTATTTATTACCCGTTCTCAAAGAGTAATTTTTGTCTTCGCTCAAAAAACATGGAAAAATTTGGAGATATTGTTTGTGTTCTCTCAAAAACTTATTTACATAAAGTTATCTTTAGTGGTATAAAAAAATTATATAAAACATAAGGCGATTTAACAACTGTAGTACTGAAATTGACTGAAAGCGCAACTGAAAGGCGTTTTTTTACTTTGATCCACACTGTAGGTACAAGAAATTCAAAAAAGGACATCAGATTTTGTCTTCAAAATAAAAATTTGAATTATGAGATTCTTGAAAAAACTCTTTTTTATTTAATTTGCATTACATATTTATTTTATGCCTGTTTATCACTTTTGTATCACTTTTGTATACTGAAGTTCAGTTCAAGTTGTTGATTTCTGTGACCACCAAAAAATAAAAAGCCAGCTCTTGCAAATAAAGGTTTTTGACGATTTAAAAAAATGTTTTGGCCGATATTTCGAAAACTATTACTGATAAGAAAAAACTAATTCGGAATTCTTGAACAATTTTTCATAAAGGAACTCTAAGTGTGAATTAAAATACCATCTTTTGTGATCCTAAGAAATTAATTAAAAATCAATTGAAAAATTCAATAAGTATTTTTAGCTGATATCTCGAAAACTATTAGTAATAAATAAGAACGGTTTACTTACTCGAAATCCTTCAATAATTCTGCATAATAAAAATGAGTTTCAATCTAATTTGTTGAATTCTATGACCGTGAAAAAATAAAAATCAACTCTATCCGCTGAACGATTTTGAAGCCAAATTTTTGGCCGATATTTTGAAAAATATTACTGGCGAAGAAAAACTAAATACATATTCGGAATCCTTGAACAGTTTTACATAAAAAACTCAAATTTTGAATTTAAAATGTGGCCACAACCGGTGCATCTATCATATAATCTGCACCAACGTATTAAAAATGACACTAACTGCTCGGATGTCATTGAAAACGGCTTTACAAAAGCTAATTGATAAAAGGTGTACAGGATTTTATAAAAAATATAAACTGAATTTACATTTGGTAAAATTGTACAAATTTTTTGTAACACAATACACTAAAGTTTCCAATAAAAAACGCATGCCATTGATAAGAAAACGTTTTCGAAACACTTTTTACTTGAAAGTAATTTCAGGTAATGCACTTGGTATCTGAAGGTTGTAAACGTTTTAATTTTTAAAGATCAATACTTTACCAATCGCTAGTACATGAATAATAATAATAATAATAGAAAAAAACTTTATTTTTTATAATTTATATCACTATTATGAACTAGACGGAAGCTCAAGTTTATGTTGCGCCCTCAGATGGTTGATCAAACATTCCTTCCTTTTTGTTTTATGAGTGCAATGCAGTGTTACCATCTATCCGAATGTTTACGCAATTTATGCCTTCTGACGGTTCCTAAACGCTGGCTTTCAAAGTCGCAAAGGTCACATTTGTACAATTTGGCGTTCTTCAAATGTTCTTCTTTTGTGTGTGTCTCCTTTTGAAACTTCGTTGTGAAAATCAGATCACATTCGTTGCATTGATACGATTTTTGAGAATCAGTGGAATGGAGTGAACGCAAATGTTGAAGTAAATTGTTTTTGAATTTCGTTTTAAAGTCACAACTGGGACACTGGAATAACGGAACGTTGCTATGTTGATACTTTTGGTGTTTCATGAGATAGTCCTTCTGATTGGTTTTGTAATCGCATTGGTCGCATTCGAAACTTCTTGGATTTTCAGTATGTTTAACAATGACATGTCCTGGTAATAGTCGCTTGTATTTTGTTTTGAAATCGCATTGATCGCATTTGAAGATTTCTGGATTTTCAGTGTGTTTAACAATGACATGTCTTTGTACTTCCTGCTTGTATTTTGTTTTGAAATCGCATTGGTCGCATTCGAACATTCTTGGATTTTCAGTGTGTTTAACAATGACATGTTTTTGTAAGTGGTTCTTGTATTTTGTCTTGTAATCGCATTGGTGGCATTCGAACATTTTTGGATTTTCAGTGTGTTTAACAATGACATGTTTTTGTAATTCGTGCTTGTATTTTGTTTTGAATACGCATTGGTCACATTCAAACATTTTTAGATTTTCAGTGTGTTTAAAAATGACATGTCTTTGTAATACCTGCTTGTATTTTGTCTTGTAACCACATTGGTCGCATTCGAACATATTTGGATTTTCAGTGTGTCTAACAATGACATGTTTTTGTAAGTTGTTCTTGTATTTTGACTTGTAATCGCATTGGTCGCATTCGAACATTTTTGGATTTTCAGTGTGTTTAATAATGACATGTTTTTGTAAGTAGTGTTTGTTTTTTGTTTCGAAATCGCATTGGTCGCACTTGAGTCTTTCGAGGCCATGTTTAATAGTCACGTGATAGTCCAATTTACTTTTGAAAGCCGCCTTGAATTGGCATTGGTCACATTGAAAGTACTCAAAATCACACATCAACGAGTGCTTTGACACTATATGTCTTTTCAATGTACTTTTTAATTTACATTTATAATCACAATGATCACAACTCCACAACTGGAGTTTGGATTTGTGTCGTCTGTTCTCGTGTTGTCTCAAAATGTGACCTTGAGCGATGTGATGTTTCAGTTGTGACAAAAATTGTGTCTCAAATGTATCACATTTGTAACACTTATAAGGTTCAAGGCTACCACTTGAGCAAATAAATAATCTTTTTTGGTCGTCTGCGTGAATTGTCGTGTGGCTTCTTAACTTGGATGAGAGTTTTGTCTTAAATGGGCATTTCGCGCATTTGAGATACAGTTCCATTCCAAAGAATCTGGAAAAAAGTAAAAGTAATTATTAGTTGGTCCTCAAAGATATGTCAAAAACAAAGTTTGAGACATGTCAACTATAAATGAACATTGTTTCTAACATAAAATATAAAAAAGTGCGATGGAAATGTTTTATTATTTAAACGGAAATTACCAAGTCATTTTTTCAAGTGGAAGCAAATTTTTTACCAAAAGACAAGAAATAAGACGATAAGGACACGGAAAAATGCAACTCCTAACCGGGAAAAATTTATTTAATGGGTAATTTAAATTTTTACTCATTTTCAGAAACTATTCAAAATTTTCAGACCACCAATCGTCTTCAGAATCTGATTCTGGAGAAAGTTGAATCATTATTGGAGGAATATAATAAAATACTGGATTAGTCATGCAATTTATTGGATGCCGTTCTTTTTTAAGAGTTCTTACACAACCAAAATGTTGAAGAATTTTAACATGGTTGGTTTATTGCATTATGCTAAAATTATTTGCGCCACTTGAAAAAAGTTTTAAAAATAACTTCATAATTCACTATTTCACCTTTGAGTCACCTACACTATATTATTATCGTATTTACACAATTTTTCTGCTAATAAACTGGAAATCTATTTTTTGTTAGTTCATTGGGTACATCGATTTTTTTTACATCGATAGATTTTTTCGACAAATTTCTTTTAAATGGGGCTCTTAAAGTATCTTTTAAATTGTAAAAAATAATGTGTTCGAAGACTTTTTCCACTACTGATAGCGACATCTCTGTTATAACAAGACTTTTTTCCTAATAAGGTCAGATATCAATTAAAAGACTGCGGGAACGATTTGATTCACCCTGTATTATAAAAAAAATGTCTTGTAGTACCTTTAGCAAACTTAAGGAGTCCCTGAAATTTTATTTTTTCTTTCAAATGAAACAACAAATCTTGAAAGGACTTATTTTCTTTTGTTGACGACATTGTTTCACACTTAACAATTTAATTTTTGCTTGATAGCTTTGAATATCTTTCTTTATCACTGGCCATGTAGTTTTTAAGTCTTCCTGTTTATAATCCCCAAAATAAAAAAGTTGTCTGATATGTTTTCTATAAAGACAATTCATTTACTTGCAAGAAATACTATTTCCGATAATGCTACCGTGTGTTTCACCTCTTTATTTGCTGCATCAGGTACAATAATTTGTTGTACCTGTTGCAGTACTCAAAAGACTAAAATTTTAAATAATAAAATACTTTTATTAAATTTGAGAAATTAAAAAAATATACTTTTTGTAAATGAAGATAATATAAAATAATAAAATTTAGTATCCAACAGACTAAACCAAAGGACGATGTGCGTACAACCTACTTTAAAAACAATAATAATATGTTGAATTTTTCTTGTTTATGTATAAACATCCAATTTCCATTTTTTTTGTGTTCTTCAACTACTATATTATGTTTTCGTGTCTTTCGTTTTTTGGTAGTCGTTTTTTTTTTAATGAATAGGGTGAAAAATCAAAAAGTTTTTAACACAAATAACGACAAAATCCACTACTATGCACTACAATACATATGGGTCTATCAGGTTTCTTGCCACTCCTGACGTGACTTTCTATTGCGTTCTCTCTCGCTCTGTGTTTATAACGCTACCTTTTTGTCATCGCTCCATCCATTCAAGTACTATATCAGAAGAAGAAATTCAAAAAAAAAGAAAGCAGATCTTCTTTTCGAAATATAAATTTGAATTATGAGATTCTTGAAAAACAAAAACATGCTTTTCAAATAATATCTAGCAGAAAAGCGAGTTTTCCTTTTTAATTTGCATTACTTATTTTATCAAAGTATAGTGAAATTTAGCTCAAGTTGTTGATTTCTGTGACCGCCAAAAAAAAAATCCAACTCTTGCAAAACTATTAATGATAAATAAACACTAATAACATACTCTGATGAATTTTGGAAAAAAAAATTTCAAGTTAGCCCTGAGTGAACCCTGTATCTTTTTTTGGAGGGAGGGAGTTTTTTGGACAATAAACAAAAACACTCGCATAAATAAAATTTATAAAATCGAATACTGAAAGTGAACAAAAAGTTATAATTTTCTTATGTAATATTTCTGTTTAAAATTACAATTCAAGTCAGGCAACACACCATACAATCGTGCAAGAAAATGCACTCAAAATGTATACAAAAGCTAATAGATTTTTCTAAAATCAATACACTAAGATTCACAAAGAAAAACAAATTCTTCTTTGGCAATAATGACTTCATAGTTCGTTTCTTAGTAACGCTAACCCAGCAAATTCAAATTTCGATTTTTCAACGGTCGTTGTCGCCCATATATATATATATATATATATATATATAGCCCTCTTCAAGCACTACAAACTCCATCAGTCAGTTTCCATGTTAATTTCCTATATCCAAGCCCGGTATATAATAATAATAATAATAATAATAATAGAAAAAAAAATATTTTTTTTATAATATTTAAGTAAATCACTTTTAGGAACTATATGGAAGCCCAAGCTTATGTTGCGTCCTCAGATGGATTCTCAAATATTCCTTCCTTTTTGTTTTATGAGTGCAATGTGCGCAGTAGAACCGTTTATCCGAATGTTTACGCAATTTATGGGTTCTGACGTTTCCTGAACACTTGCTTTTAAAGTCGCAAAGATCACATTTGTACAATTTGGCGTTCTTCAAATGTTCTTCTTTTGTGTGTGTCTCCTTTTGAAACTTCGTTGTGAATCTCAAATCACATTCGTTGCATTGATACGATTTTTGAGAATCAGTGGAATGAAATGAAAGCAAATGTTGGAGTAAACTGCTTTTTAATTTTGCTTTATAGTCACAAATGGCACACTGGAATAATGGAATGTTGCTATGTTGATACTTTTGGTGCCTCATGAGATAGTACTTCATTTTGGTTTTGTAATCGCATTGGTCGCATTCGAACCTTTTTGGATTTTCGCTGTGTTTAACAATGACATGTCTTTGTAAGTAGTTCTTGTATTTTGTCTTGTAATCGCATTGGTCGCATTTAAACATTTTTGGATTTTCAGTGTGTTTAACAATGGCATGTTTTCGTAATACCTGCTTGTATTTTGTTTTGAAATCGCATTGGTCGCATTCGTGCATTTCTGGATTTTCACTGTGTTTAATAATGACATGTCTTTGTAAGTGGCTCTTATATTTTGTTTTGAAATCGCATTGGTCGCACTTGAGTCTTTCGGAGCCATGTTTAGTAGTCACGTGATAGTCCAATTTACTTTTGAAAGCCGCCTTGAATTGGCATTGGTTACATTGAAAGTACTCAAAATCACACATCAACGAGTGCCTTGACACTATATGTTTTTTCAATGTACATTTTAATTTACATTTATAATCACAATGATCACAACTCCACAACTGGAGTTTGGATTTGTGTCGTCTGTTCTCGTGTTGTCTCAAAATGTGACCTTGAGCGATGTGATGTTTCAGTTGTGACAAATATTGTGTCTCAAATGTATCACATTTGTAACACTTATAAGGTTCAAGGCTACCACTTGAGCAAATAAATAATCTTTTTTGGTCGTCTGCGTGAATTGTAGTGTGACTCTTTAACTTGAATAAGAGTTTTGTCTTAAATGGGCATTTCGCGCATTTGAGATACAGATTCATTCCAAAGAATCTGGAAAAAAAGTAAAAGTAATTATTGGTTGGTCTCCAAAGTTATGTCAAAAACATAAGTTTGAGACATGTCAACTATAAATAATAGTATATTGTGTCATTAGGAGTAAAAGTGATTGATACACCAATAATCAAGTAAATCACCTCAATAATCAGGACGCTTTGCAATAAAATCATAACGTCAGTTTCGGGATTTGTGTAGTTTAGTTTAGCTGTAATGAAATAAACTTGTATTTTTTTAAATCAATAAACCATATATGGCAATAACATTTTTAGAAAGCTTGTTTTTGTCTTATCTAAAAAAATTGTAACAAAAATTTATAATATTCAGGGTGCGTCAGAACTCGCGCTCCAGAGAAACATATGAAGTGTCGGCGGCCAAAAAGTGCAGCCGAAGAAGTAATTTTTGCTTGCATAAGAAAGTTATTAGACTTTTAAATCCACCACTCCCAGAAGCGCACCTCAAGGTGTGATTAAAAAATTATATCCGTTGCTACGTTACAAAAATAATACCAATTTTCCCAGAACTTTAAAAAATAGCTGGTCTACTGTAAATTTGACACCTGTTATGTGGGTGACATAACCTGCTAGTTTCCAGTATTTTTCTCGCTCAAAAATTATTTTGAAAACTCCATTCTTCTTCTCTAAAACTTCTTCACAGGTATTATTCCTTCTCAACTTTTTCTTCGATCTGATACAGATTAACAAACCGATGTTGAATTTTAAAAATAAATTATAAACAATTATCAGTTTGCGTACTGCCCAATATTTTTGAGGACGCTGCAATAGTATATTAAAGAACAAGTTTTATAAGGGTTGATTTGGCGCGCGAATCCCAAGTTAGAAACGAGCCGTTGGCGAGTTTTCATGGGATGAGTGCGCCAATGCCATTATAAAACGAGTATTTTATGCTATTTTTTCTAATTTGCGCCCCCTTTCTTCTTACTTTAATTAAAAAAATATATATTTTTGTCGTCTAGAGAATTTTGTGTTAGATGGTATCGGTTGGTAACACTCGGCGCCCACCTGATTTTAGTTTGCACTACGCCCGAAATTCGCGAAATTGCAACAACGCAAATTTGTTACCTGACAAGTCAGAAGCGGCGTAGAAAAACTAAATAACCCTAAATTCATTAAAGGACAGTGTGCTTTTATAGATAGCCATAAACGACTCCTACTGAGAGACGTTAATAAACGTATTATAAACGCAAATTAGAAAAATATAGTTACAGATACAAAAAAAGTGTAAGAAACAAAATTGTAGAGAATAAAATTTGCTACAAAAAGTCTACGATACCATATTTCTATCTTCAACGGTTTAGGTTTAAAGTGCTTCAAAGTGTGTGCACTGAATCACCAGTAAAAATGAAACGAATCCGTCGCTTGAGCGGCTTTGAACGTCTTTGAGGCCTAAACCTTTAAAGATAGAGGTCTGGTCTCGCGAACTTTTTACTAGAAAATTTTATTCTCTACAACTTTCTTTCTTACATTTTTCTTGTATCTTTAACCGTATTCGCAGCATTTTCAAAAACATAATTTTAACTTTTGAATATTTTTTTTCTCATATTTATCGTGAAAAATTTAGTCGTTCGTTTTTTACAGCTTATTAAGAATGTAAAGCTCAACGTTTTTGCATTTTTTCCAAGCAATTAGTAAACTGGTTGAATTTAAATTAATTAAAAACGATTTGAAACTGAGACGGTAAAACGCTCTAAGTGCCCTCAATTTTACACCGCCGTACTACTTTTTTGAGTCCAAAAAATCTATTATCGTTTTCATATTAATGTGCATCGAAGTAGTCGTTGAAAGGGATCATTTTAAGGTGGCAACCATGCGAAAATTCAAACAATCCCAACCTCAATCTTCCCTAATAATTATTTTCTCAAAGAAATATGTATACCCAAGTTTTTGAGGTAGCAAAAAATAATCAAAATTAACAACGGTAAACAAAAAATTGTATCATTATTGATGTGATTAAATTTGTTCTGAATGACATTATTGACACTTTTTGTGTGAATAGGCCTTTAAATTAAAGGTGCATTTAGACTTCTACAACCTACTTGATGCACATTAATATGAAAAAGAGTGTAGCAATTTTGTATCTCGTTTCGTCTCCTAGTATGTAATTCTCCATAGTCATAACACGTTAAACTTTTTTACGGTTTGCAAAAACTCTACTGAATTTGATCGTTTATTAATTGCAACAATTCCACAGAATTTGTTATGATCCCAATAATTAAAATGGTCCGACCCAAATGAACGACGAAATAAAGAATTTCTTCGTCTTTGGAAGAGAAATTAACTTTTTGTCGTATCAATAATGTTAATAATATTTTCCTTTTTGGTAAAACACACAAGACGAAAATACGTGGAACACACCAAACAAAACTTTAAAATTCAAATCGAAATATGCGTAATTTATGTCCCTAGACTCAGTGTAGCCAACGAAATTGAGAATTTTGGTTAATTTAACCCAACTTCCACAAAATCAATTCCCAGCAGTGAGGGTTAAAATTTAGGGTAAGATTTAACCACGGTTGGTTAGATACCCTGGATTTTAAGCCTGTACTGAAATACTGGGCGTTAGTCTGGCATGGAAATTAGGCGGACGAAATTCACTGTCCGTCACTGTACATCTCCTTAAAAGATCTATTTCTTACTTACATTTTTGTTGGTAATTTTATTTCACACCCACAGAGCAGTGAACAGATAGATACATTTATTTATTTACACCACTCAATTGAGGTTAACAGGTCAGATGATCACAGCATGAAGGAAGGGCAGTGGCGTGGTTGGCCCTGAGTGGGGCCCTGCATTATTATTTTGCGCGAGGGGGAGCTTTTACACTCGCATCCATAAAATTTATTAATTTTGTTGAGCGATCTTTTTTGTAAACAAATAATTGTTTCATTTTATAAAATTACAATTCAGGCTAGGCAACAAACTATACAGTTCTGCATATAAAATCACAGAAAGTATACATACAAAAGTCGATTGTTCAGAACCGGGAAATTTTTATCTTACGAATTTTTTGAGATTAAAAACGCTTGAAATATGTTTTTTTAGAGGTAAAATTACCCGCTGAACACGATGCAACAGGTTTAAATACTCTACGAGGCATCGTTTTTGCGATATTGAGTAATAAAATTAAGAATAAGGCTAAAAGCATACAAGATGTATAAAGGAAGATATGGTAAATAATGCAAGATGCAACACAATAATAATAACACAAATCTGAAATCTGACATAAGGTGTCCAACTTCAGAAAATTCATAATCAAAATCGACAACAAAGAGAAAACTTTAACTTGAAAGATACTTTGTTTTCGCTGCAAATGAAAATCTCAAAAAATTGCACACTTAGGTGTGTTGGTCCTTAAATCGAGACAAATCAGGACATAAATGTAAAACAAGACAAGACCATAAAAACCTAAACATGTCCTGGCTAAATCAGGACGTTAATCTGATCAAAATTCTGAAATAAGGTTAGAAAAACCTAAAGACTAATTTACACTTTTAGTCTGTCATGGAAATTAGATGGATGAAATTCACTGTTCGTCACTGTACATATCTATAAAACACCTATTTCTTACTTACGTTTTTGCTAATTTTGTTTATAATTTTACACCACTAAATTGAGGTTAAGTCACAGCCACTCATTTGTCTTAAAATTGAATATTCTATCACCTGTTTAAATTTGTAACAATAAAAACGGAACACCCTGTATAAAACATAAGACAATTTAACAACTTTAGTGCTAAAATTGACTGAAAGCGCAGCTGAAAGCGTTTTTTTTACTTTGATTCACATTGTGGGTATACGAAATTCAAAAAAATTAAAGCAGACCTTATTTTCGAAATAAAAATTTAAATTATAAGTGTCTTGAAACAACAAAAACACGCTTTTCAAGTTATATCTAGTAGAAAAGCATGTTTTTTCTTTTTTTTTTTAATTTGGATTAGTTGTTTTATGCCTATTTATCATTTTTGTATGAAAGTTGTCTACTCAATTCAGTTCAAGTTGTTGACGTCTATGACCGCGAATTGTCAATTTTGGCCCATATTTCGAAAACTATTACTGATATTGCCCACATATTCGGAATCCTTGGATAATTTTATATAAATCAATTCTAATTTTAAATTTATATAGTAATTACTGTGACCTCACAAACAATGACAAATTTTAAGAAAAATTTAACATTTTGGGAAAAATTTCAAATCTTATACGCATTAGAAAACACGCAACCAACTTAGAAATATGTACACAATCGTGATTATCAAAGAAACCAGTTAGTCCTTTGGGAATGTAAGAATATAAACAACCAACAGTAATGAATAAATAAATATTTTTCAATGGCTTGCGTGTTCTCAAATTACAGAAAAAAGCAGATGAATTCATATTTTACGATTATAATATTTATTGTATTTTCAAGTTTTACCTACTACTAGAGGGAAAGTAAAAAACAAGTTTTGTTTTATCACTAGAGGGGCCTATTCTATATAAATTAGTTCAAGAAGTATGCGTGTACAAATCACAAATTTGTGCAAACGTTAAATTGTGAAAAATGGCCAAACAAATTTGTTCATGTGGCCGACATGCATACTTCTCCATATAAATTTGCACACAAGTTATTATTTTACATGGGGCCTTCTATGATACTTACTTCATAAAACAATAATACATACTACGAAGAAAACTATTAATTATAAATAAAAACTAATAACATATTCTGAATCTTTGGACAATTTTGCATAAGAAAAATTTAGTTTTAAGTTAGTCCTGAGAAGGCCCTGTATCAAAAAGAATTTTTTGGATAATAAACGAAAACACTCGCATAAACAAAATTTATGAAATCAAATACTGAAAAAACGTGGAGAATTTTCTTATGTAATGTCTCACTTCAAAATTACAACTTAGGTTAGGCAACAAACTATACAGTATTAAAGAACATGCACTCAATAACGTTTAACAACGTTTAACACTCCTTTAACAACGTTATACATTCGTTGCCTTAACATTGTTTTGAAATCGCATTGGTCGTATTTCAAACTTTTTTGCTTTTCAGTGTGTTTAGCAATGACATGTCTTTGTAAGTATTTCTTGTATTTTGTCTTGAAATCGCATTGGTCGCACTTGAGCCTTTTGGGGCCATGTTTAATAGTCACGTGTGTGTCCAATTTACTTTTAAGGGGCGTCTTGAATTGGCATTGGTCACATTGAAAGCACTCAAAATCACACATCAACGAGTGCTTTGACACTATATGTTCTGTCAATGTTTTTTTAAATTTACATTTATAATCACAATGATCACAACTCCACAACTGGAGTTTGGATTTATGTCGTATGTTCTCGTGTTGTCTCAAAATGTCACTCCTTTTCGCCTTGTAATCACAAAGTTTACACGGATACCAAAAGTTAATGTCATGTTTTTCCATCAAGTGTCGTCTCAAAGTGTGTTTGAGTTTGCCCTTAAATAGACAATATTCACATCTAAACCACTGGATCTTTGAATTTTCTGTATGTTTCCAAATCACGTTCTTCAAATGTTCTTCTTTTGTGTGTGTTACCTTTTGAAACTTTGTTGTGAATTGCAAATCACATTCGTTGCAGTGATATGATTTTTGAGAATCAGTGGAATGGAGTGAACGCAAATGATAGAGTAAACTGCATTTTAATTTTGTTTTAAAGTCACAACTGGCACACTGGAATAACGGAACGTTGCTATGTTGATACTTTTGGTGTTTCGTGAGATAATTCTTGAGATGGGTTATGTAATCGCATTGGTCGCATTTGAACATTTTTGGATTTTCAGTGTGTTTAACAATGACATGTTCTGGTAATACCTGCTTGTGTTTTGTTTTGAAATCGCACTGGTCGCATTCGAACATTCTTGGATTTTCAGTGTGTTTAACAATGACATGTTTTTGTAAGTTGTACTTGTTTTTTGATTTGTAATGGCATTGGTCGCATTTGAACATTCTTGGATTTTCAGCGTGTTTGACAACAACATGCTTTCGTAATTCCTGCTTGTACTTTGTTTTGTAGTCACATTGGTCACATTTGAACATTCTTGGATTGTCAGTGTGTCTAATGATGACATGTGTTTGTAAGTTGTGCTTGTATTTTGACTTGTAATCGCATTGGTCGCATTCAAACATTTTTGGATTTTCAGTGTGTCTAATGATGACATGTGTTTGTAAGTTGTGCTTGTATTTTGTCTCGTAATCGCATTGGTGGCATTTGAACATTTTTGGATTTTCAGTGTGTTTAACAATGAAATGTCTTTGTAAGTATTTCTTGTTTTTTGTTTTGAAATCGCATAGGTCGCACTTAAGCCTTTCGAGGCCATGTTTAATGGTCACGTGTTTGTCCAATGTACTTTTAAAGGCCGCCTTGAATTGGCATTGGTCACATTGAAAATACTCAAAATCACACATCAACGAGTGCTTTGACACTATATGTTGTGTCAATGTTTTTTTTAATTTACATTTATAATCACAATGATCACAACTCCACAACTGGAGTTTGGATTTGTGTCGTCTGTTCTCGTGTTGTCTCAAAATGTCACTCCTTTTCGCCTTGTAATCACAAAGTTTACACGGATACCAAAAGTTAATGCCATGTTTTTTTATTAAGTGTCGTGTCAAAGTGCGATTGAGTTTGCCCTTAAACGGACAATGTTTACATCTAAACCACTGAATCTTGGAACCTTCTGTATGTCTTCGAATCACGTGTCTTCTCAAATCGTCAAAATGTGAAGCCTTGTTATCATAATTTGTGTATTTCTTTCCTTGATGTTCGGTAAAAATAACATGTCTCAAAACCAAATATTTCGAAAACGACTTGAAATCACATTTGGGACACTTGTAGGTTGTGGATTTGACATGTTGTGATGTATGACCTTGAGCGATGTGATGTTTCAGTTGTGACAAAAATTGTGTCTCAAATGTATTACATTTGTAACACTTGTAAGGTTCAAGGCTACCACTTGAGCAATTAAATAATCTTTTTTGGTCATCTGCGTGAATTGTCACGTGACTTCTTATCTTAGATAAGAGTTTTGTCTTAAATGGGCAATTGTCGCATTTGAGATACAGTTCCATCCCGGAAAATCTGGAAGAAAAAATAAGATTAATTGGTGGTTGGTCTCCAAAGATTTGTGAAAAGTATGAGACATGTCAAAGCAAAAATTGAGCCCCTGCATATAACACATATCTTTTATTTAAAAAAAAAATTAAGCAAAAATTCCAGTTAGTTTCCGAGATATTTTAGATCGAGTTTACATTGTAATTCCCATAAGAAGAATACAGGTGGAATCCCCTAAAGCTAACGCTTTCGTTGTTTTTTCCAATAATTACGCATCATTTGTTTTCGACTTTTTCTTTTTTTTTTGAAAGAAATTGTTTAGAATTATTACCCATAATTTCAATACAACGTTTTCAACAACAAGTGATAAGAAATTAGGAATTACACTTACCAAGAAGAGGTCACAATAACACTAATTTAGTATGTAATTAAATAGATACCCAATAAAATAACTTATAAATTAAAAAAGCACAAATATCACTGTTAAAAAATTATCACTTATTTCAAAGCACTGCGGTGCACTATGGAAAATCGAGGTTTTTTCAAAAATCGATAACTTTTTTATTTGTTTAGAGAGACAATTGAAATTTTGCACAAATATAGAGTAGTATGTAAGGTTTCAGATGATATATTTTTAGCTAGATTTATTCTAGTAGTATAAGCTAAAAAAATTAATAAAAACAAAAAGTTTAAAAAATTTCCTTTATTTTATTTCCTTAGTGATAACACTATTTATATTGTGAATAAACATTGATTATTATACTCGTCTATTACTTAAATAAGCAATTGAAACTTATCATTACAAATAATTACATATTTGATGAAATATTGAAAGTTTATTAATACCAATTTATAAGTAAAATTAATACAAGAAAAACACACGCTTAGAACACTTGAAAGAAGTCGTCATTTTGAAACTTCAGCAAAGTAAAGTATACGTAACAATTAAACGTCTGGTTACTTAGGTACAACTGAATTTATGATAGCGACATCATACTAATTGAAAAATAAGGGTCGTGTGCATTTTGTTGATTCAAGTTTTACCAAAAAATGAGTTCAATACAGATAAAACGCCCCATTATCAATTAATAAATAATATTTAAAATAGTTTACCTTAGAAATCGCATCATATTGTGGTTTTCTGTTTTCTGACTTTTATCACATTTTTCGCAATAACTTCGGAGATCGCAGATATCCGCAGCTGATTTTAATAAATGTTATTTATAAATATCTAGACTACAAAACAACATCAAATATAAAACACCGGGAGACACCGGTAACTGTCAAACGTCTCTTACTTATTGTTCGATTTTTTTTCATAGAAATAGAAACATAAAACTTACAATATTATAGTTGTTTTAGAGTCCTCATATAATGAGCTTTTTAGAAATGTATAATAATTTATATCTATTCTCACAAATTTTGACAAGAAATCAATTTTGAAGAATTGCAGCGAATAAACCTGACGCGGACATTCGTTAGAACCATAGACATTGTGGTATTAAAAAACATATTTTTACTGTAATTTATGTAAAATGACTGTATTATAGTAAAGTTCAATTCATAAACTATTCAATAAACTTAAAAAAGTGCGCCAGTAACGACATTAGTGAAAACGATTTTTGATATGCTTTGTTCTACAGAGTGGTTATAAATGATTTTCATCTAGCCAGCTGTGAATTTTCCATGTAAAATAAAAAATGCCGCTTTACGAAAATAGGGGTACCTACTTGTTTTAACTCAAAATTAAAAAATCGCCGTTTACTAAGCGTCCACTTCGAAAACAGACTTCAATTATAAACTTGTTTTCTTCCAAAGTATACATTATTATCAATTATTATTGGAAATTAGTTGAAACAATAAAAATTTAATTAACAACAACTTTTTATTAATTAATAAGTGACACTAATGACAGAACTAAAGCTTTCAAAAAAGTAGAGCGGCAAAAATAAAGTTACATGTAAAAAAAAATCCAAAGCTGGCTAGATGAAAATCATTTATAACCACTCTGTATCCCTCCTCCCTTTATTGGGGTCTACAAATGATGGTTTGGGGTTAGGCCTTCACGAAAATTAGTGAAAGTTAAATACCCTATTAAGTAAGTTGTAAACACGATATAAATATCGTGACAAAGCACAGGTAAAAATTAGCAAGAAACATTGAGCATTCTGTTAACATCAAAATTCTGAAACAAGGTTAGAAAAACCTAAAGACTAATTTACACTTTTAGTGTGTCATGGAAATTAGACGGACGAAATTCACTGTTCGTCACTGTACATATCTATGAAACTCCTATTTCTTACGTACGTTTTTGGTAATTTTATTTATTATTTCACACCACTAAATTGAGGTTAGGTCACAGCCACTGAACAACACAGATATAAACAGCATGGAGGAAGGGCAGTGGCGTAGTTAGACCCGTTTGCCCTGAGTGGGCCCTACACCATTTTTTTACGGGGAGCGGCTTTTACACTTGCATCAATAAAATTTATAAAATCGTATATTGAAACTGTACAAAGGTTCATAATTTTCTCGTAGAGAAATAATTATTTCATTTTAAAAAATTACAGTTCAGGATAGGCAACAAACTATACAGTTTAGCATATAAATACACAGAAAGTATAGCTCGGTGAAGTTACTTGCTGGCAAGTATAGAATCAGAGCGGCCCAGTTCAGTCTTGGTTAACCTTTACAAATTGAATAAAATAAAGACAATAAACTCTAAACGACCCCTAACCTTTTTAAAAAGTAGGCCTTTTGTATTTGTCACAATTATTATAAATAAAATTATGCTTTATTTAAAAAAAAATGTGATAATGGCCTATGGTAATCTTCTTGCCGTCGAACTCTTCCCAGGGCTGGATTTTGCTCACAATTTTTTATTTTGTAAAGTTATTAATGTCCTTTTAACTTGGAACAATAAAAAGTGGCACATCGTCGATAACAAATAAAAAAAAATTAAAATCCATAAAATTCCCAAAAAATCGAACATTCCAACCCCTTCCCAGGGCTCGATTTGTTTCAAACTTTTATACATTGTAGAGTTTTTAATACCCTTTCAACCTGTAGTAATAAGAAAGTGGCACATCGTCGATAACACGTAGAAAAAAAAATAAAAATCCATAAAATTTCAAAAAAATCAAATTTTCCAACCCCTTCCCAGGGCTCGATTTTTTTCAAACTTTTATACATTGTAGAGT